GCTTACTGCGCAGTTAGCAGAGCGCGTTCTAATACGTGCGTGTGTATGTATGTGTACCTAAAAGAAGTACAGAATAATTAGAATGTCAGATTGAAGGGTTCAGGGTATCTCCTAGTCGAGCAGTGAGATACCCTGAAACCTTCAATCTTCTTACTTGTTTTATAACTGATTTTCGATAAGGTTTTTTATCGATAAAAATAACGTGATGGCTTATCGATTTTTTGTGATAAACTGAATTTGCGCGCTATATATACGGAGATTAAATAAAATTTGAAGTCTCTAGCTCTTATATCTTCTGAAATCAATGCGTTCAAATATACGGACAGGCGGACAGGGCTAAATCGACTCATGGCGTCGCCCTGATCAAGAATATATATACTTCGTGTGGTCTGCCTGCCTCCTTCTGTCTGTTACATACCTTTAACAAAACGATTATACCCTGATTTCACGTTTTCACGTGGTCATAAGATTCTAAAGTATGTATGTATATTCCGAAGCACAGTTTTTTAGCACTTGAAATATGTTCTTTACTAATTAGGGACAAAGGAGCGTGGTAGCCAAAGTCTATACACAGTAAATCTGATGTTTCTAATAATGTAACGTTAACCAAAACCATTTATAAAACTATATCTCCTACATCTTTAACGCTACTTTTAATTATATATGCTTTTATACAATTTCGATTTTTGTTGCAATTTATCCCCCACCCCAAAATCCACCCCTTACCATCACTTTTGTAAAAGGCGTATTTCAAATACAAGAAACTTGTGCTTGGGAAATGTATGCATAGCCATGTTATAATCATAATCTGAAAGTAAGAAAGCTCTAGATGGACTATCTTCATGAAACTTTAATTATTAATAATTATGACTATAACATGGATATGCATACATCTCTAGTATTTGAAATACGCCTTCGACGCTGTCAGTCACGCCTCCCTCTGCCTATTACATACATTTAAACAAAACCATTATACCCTGATTTCCCATTTTCGAGTATGTATGTATTTTAAATTTCATGTCTCTAACTTCACACAGACGGACGGACACATGACTATTATGAATGAGTATAATTATGCTTGCAAAAAAATACTATCTAAAGTTCAGCTAAATATTACCTTAAGTTCAGTTGGGTTACCAGTTTCGTCACCATGAGCGCTGTGAATCTCTTCAATTAGGCTGTTAAGCTTTTCAAATCGCTGCATTTTGATTTCAATTTTAGATTGTATCTTCTTTAGCTCATCGTCTAAACTGTTTGACTTTTCTTCAGCTTTAGTTAATTTGTCTTGAACTTTGTCATTTTGTTTCTTTGTATTAAATAACACGCTTCGTAATTTCTCCACATCGAGCATGGCCAATGCTAATTGGTTTTGTACTTTCGACAATGAAATGTCAACGCTTCGACGATGATCTTGAGCTTTATTTAATAATTTTAAGCGATAAGCACTAGCTTTATCAGTGATAAGCTGATCCTGAGCTAACTTCAAGATGGCCTCCTCAGTTCTGAATTTCTTTTGTTGGTTTTTGTCCAAAATCAGATCGAGTCTTCGCATTTCTGATAATAATTTATTTCCTTCACGGGTTGCTTCTTGCAAATCGGCTTCGGTACGGGCTAGAAACTCTGGAAATTCGTCCAGCTTTGTTTGCAAAGACAGTAGTGCTTCCAATTCCCTTTGACCTAAGAATAAGTATAAATTAATAATAACTTTATTGGGATTAATTAGACTTTTTCACTTACATTCACGACTTAAGTTACTCATATCATCGGCCAATCTCTGCTTAAAGGATTCCAGCTTTTTGTTAAGCTCCATTTCTCTTGAAATTTGCTTTTTCACGGCCTCTATGCCATTTGAATTCAGTTTTATTGATTCTTTTTGCTTACTGTTTAAAAAAAATATATATATTAATGTATTTTAAACCAAGTAAGAATGCTCTAGTCGAGACTGCTCGACTACGAAATAACCTGAACCTTTCGAGGAATCGATATTTTAATAATTCTTCGCGTTTTTCTGTGAAAACGTATTTAATGTGCAGAAGGAATCATCGCAGACCCCATAAAGTATAGATATATTCCTGATCAGGACGACGAGCTGAGTAGATATAGCCCTGTCCGTCTGTATGAGTCCGTCGATCTCAGAAAATACAAAAGCTAGAGAGCTTAAATATGGCATGCATCCGATAACTTTTTTATCGAGAATAATCGAAAATTTGATTTTGTTTGCCATGCAATAGGAATTTTAATAATATATTAAGGATTACGTACCGTATATTGTCCTGAACTTGAAACAGTATTTTATCTCTTTGCTGAATAGCTATGATAACTTCACTCCATGCCTGAATTAAGCGCTTATGCTCATTTTGTAAAGCCTCCAAATCAGTGTTAGCATCGGCAATGCTCATGTTAAGTACATTAACCACCTCTTTAATTGCAACTTCATCTTCGGCAATTGATTGCAGCTCTGCTTCTTTTTTCTTGACTTCCATATCAAGTCTATAAAATAGTATGTCTGACTTTCTTTTTTCCTCTGACAGCTGTTTTTGCAATTGAGCATCGCGGCTAACAATCCGCTTTGCATTTTTAACTTCATCTTCCACTTCGTATGCCCAGTTCTTGATATTACTGCCCAAACTTTGAAGATCTTCTAGTTCCATCATTCGAGTATGGTATAATGATTTTTGAGTTCTTGTCAACTTAATTTTCTCGTCATATTCTTTTTTTAGAATCTCTACAGCGGCTTCTTCCAATTGGCGTTTTTCAATGTGTTCATCAATTTGGGCAGATATATCTTTGATTTGTTGCTCCTGGTATGTAATTTTATTTTGCATATCATACAATGCCAGCCCCTGCTCTTCCCTACGTTCCTCTTTGGTCTTGACATGATATTTAATATCCGTTATCTCATTTTCCAGCTTATTTTTTGTACGCAAAAGATGTTCCTTCAAGGACAGTTGAAATCTTCGTAGCAAAGGATGGTTAGGCGGAAGTATACCCATTTCTTCAGGCTCCAGAACACGCTGTTGACCCTGCTCCGCAGTATTTCCAAATTCACAGGACTCGAAATCTCCATCATCAGACATTGTTAATGTTTTTTTTTCGGCAAATATATGTCTTCACAAAATTTGTGTCGTATAATTCAGTTCAGTTGTGTAAAACTACTTGTTATTTAAAAAAATAATTTTTGACGTTTAAGGTTGCTAAGCGTTACGAATTGTTTTGTGCAACGTTAGTCGTGTTGTTAGTCCATCTATCTCTTACGTTGCTATTAAAGCTAGATACTTGAAATTTTAAATACATACATATGCCATTGTATAAAGATTATTTATAGGTTCTCGTTATACATACTTTGCTATTTTATTTTATTTATTAAACCAATTTATTCTTTTTATATAATTATTTATTTGCTGCTCACCTAATTTTTATGCTATTGCTCGAATGGTGTGAAAATACATATGTACATACATACCTAGGTAAATAAAATGTAAATTTAATTTTTATTTTATTCTATATTTTTCGTGTAGGGTCTATAGTAATACTCAGGTTGATCAGCCGGAAGTATTGATATATAGCAAATATGAACTGCAGACGTTTAGCAGACCCAAAATGCGCCCAGCAACTAGTTTCTGGCACCGTCGCGAATCGTTGAACTCTGCGATATGATTATTAATGATGTGATATTTATCGTTGAGAATGGTATCGGCATCTTCCTTATAGTTACCTAAACATTCCTGGAAAATTGAGGCGTGCATTCCTTCTAGAGAAAAATGCCGTATCTAAACGACTATGGCGTCCTTAAAAATAAACTTGAAGCAAACTTCGTAGCCCAAATTATTAAGAACCGACGTTATTCTTTGCCTTGACCTGTCATCTGCTATGCAATCATCAGAGGCGTCCTTCATTGAACGTCGAACTGATGTGGCGTCATCCGCATAGCATGCTCAAGGACTGCCTATACTTGACCTCCGAGAAGTTAAGAAAAGCTTTAACGTGAAACTTCTCTATTATCCAAATAAATAATTATAATCCGCATAAGCAACTGAGAGATGCGTTGAATACCCAAATATACTAGTTTATGACAATTAATTCATCCCATCAGTGAACCAACCCATTGTTCAGAAAATCAACCTTTAAAGTCAGACATGATGAATACATTTTAATTATTCAAAATTTCAACATACAAAGATTTAAGTTTTTTTAACAATGCTTGCAAAAAATAATAGTTAGTGCATTGGCATAAATGTAAATTGTTTATTTAAAATGCATACATTTAAGAGATCGTGCTGTTGCACTTGAAATGTGTTTTGGAAATACATGCATATACGGTTACTAATTGGAAATACAAATCTTTAAGTACATAAATAGATAAATACATATGTATATTAAATCGTTTGATGAGAAATGCATATTTGCAATTGTAAAATAGTGAAATTTAATTTAACTTGTTTACAATAGTGCATACATGTTGCATGTTGAGGGAATTCCATTTTTATTATGAGTAAAACAATTGTAATGCATATACTACATTAAATCAAAGTATTATATATTCATTATTATAGCAAAATGCTATTGATCCTTTGACAATTTTTTTAAATTTTAATTTACAACTCGAGAGCTAACGTACTAAAAATTTCAAAATTTCAAAAACTTTTTAAGATACTTATTTAAATGTTTCATTATGTACAATGTACATAATTATGGGCATTACACACGAGATGATTCGACTTAAATATGTATATAACAAACTTCAATTTGTTTCTTGGATAACATACAATATACTAAAACTTAGCTGCTCTGTAGAGTAAAGCAGCGAAGGCATAGGTTCTATATCTTCAAAGAGAAGCAAATTGAGTATCGGCTTTTCCCTATACAAGTAACTGACAAAAACCTTAAATTATACAATCAATAATGCGTTTTATGCCATATTTATCATCTAAATTAAATTTTTAAAGATAAATTGTATACCTTTTTCAAAGAAAACTTGCCTTACCTAGTTTATTTAAAATAAAAAAGAAAGTATTTTATAATATGAAATATTTTAATTGTAGAAATAAAAAGATACATTATAAGAGCTATTGAAATGAGGCAGACTTTTCTGCATGCAAAACAGACGAAAACGGCTTTAAAAAAATTTTAAAATATGTTTCTTTGAAGATATCCTATTTCATTATATATGTCCATATGCATACATGCACATTATACTTATATTATTAATTGCAAGTCCAGCAACATGTAATTATAGATGTGTTATTTTTATGGCAATGTCTTGAAAATTTCGGAATATAGATACATACTCTTTCATACCAGGAAATAACACATAAAATATACGTCAGTAAAATGAGTTTACGTTCAATAGAAACATTTTGTAACACTTTACGTTTCTGAATCAATTATAAGTTGTGTTTACCTTTATTTTAAAAACTAACTATGGTCTGAAAATAAGACAACTGTATTTGATAACTGTAAATTGATCATTCAGAAATAAATCTTAATCATTATTCCAGGAAGCACGTATTACGGAATAACCTGTACGGGACCCTATATAAGAAAGCGATTATTCTATGAGAAACACAAAACACTCAAAACACTTTCATACTAAGGGGCGCTTCACTCGAAAATTAACTGTGCATGCAGAGTCTTTTACCATCATGCTTCCTATAAATAAGTTTTATCCTCCACTAAATATAATTGGTTTGATGGTACCTTAGATAAACCAATTTCTCGTATTATAGAAAAACCAAAAAAAAAAATAATAATAATAATAATAATAATAAATAAAAATAGAGTATTATTATATCCTTGAGGTATATGCTTAGCCAAATACTTATTAATGATGGGATTTACAACTATATTGAATTATGAATCAAAAAGTTCATAAATAGTCTAATCGCATATACGTTACTACAGTTTGTTTTCTTTATGTGTGTGTAACTTGAATACATTTTCAACTGTAGACTAAAGTTACTTCATGGACATAAAAAATTATTATTAAAAAATTATGGAATGAGAAACTGAATAATTTAATTACCATATTTCTAAATACAAAATTAAAATAAAACAAATAGTTACAAATGTAAATTTTTATTTTTTAAATTATTGTTTTTATAGCGCTTGTTCTGGTTGTCGTTCTTTGAATTTCAACGTTTCTTGAAAGATTAATGATTTTAAAGCGTCTCGCGATATATCATCATTTTCCATATTAATGCCGAATGGTACTTCTGCAACGGGCTATAAAGTAAAAAAGAAATTAACAGTATATATAATATTATTGAATCATTAAGGTTACCTCGTCGCCAGGATCATAATACTGCTCTAAATATGGATGTGCCAGAGCCTCCTCTACTGGAATACGCTTGTGCGGGTTGAACGTCAACATTTTACCAAGTAAATCCAAAGCCAAAGGGTCAGCATTTGGAAATAACCTCGACCATGGCACATTTGGTTTAAAAGGCAAAGACTCTAAATAATTTCGTGCCTAAAATACAATTATTAACAATCAATAACACATTTACGAATTCTTAATACATACCTTTTCATTAATAATACATTCTAAATCTTCCTGGGATGGAGAACCTAGGACTCCAAGAATATGGTTTAGTTGGTCTAAATAATGTTTTCCCGGAAAAATAGGTCGGTTGCTTAACATTTCTGCCAAAATGCATCCAACCGACCAGATATCAATAGATTTTGTATAACCTTTTGAATTAAGCATGATTTCAGGCGCCCGGTACCATCTAGTTGCTACATATTCTGTAAGGAAACCAGTATGGTCATGGTCTGGATCAGCAATGCGAGCCAAGCCAAAGTCGCAAATCTACAAAGGATTAAATTTAAATAACTGCAGTAAATGTAGCGTGACATTTAAATAATAATATACACACTTTTAGGTCGCATGTCTTGTTCAATAAAAGGTTGCTCGGCTTAAGATCTCGATGTAAAACGTTTGCCGAATGAATATACTTTAAGCCACGCAATATCTGATACAAAAAGTAACAGATGTGATCATTACTCAGCCTCTGTAAATAAAGAAAATAATAATTAATTAGGAACAACAACAAGAATGCTCTAGTCGCGACAGCTCAACTACAGGATCGCCGTTGACGTAGCGACTGCGCTTCAGTTGCATTTTAGGCAATGGTGTTTCTAACATAGCTGTTGACACTTTTTCGTCCGCAAATAAGTGTCTTTCACTCACACAACAAACAAGACTCAGATCGAGATCGTGTCTGCACAATATTTTCGGTTATGTTACGAGGTAGAGTATATAAGAAAAAACGATCAATTCTCATTTGCGAGCTATGATTTCTAATCATACTTTCAAAAAACAAATCTCTGGTCTCTAGAATTTGAAAAAAGATTTTTGTAAATTAGATTTGTAAATTCGATTTAGGAACGGTATTTAAAATACTTATTTATTGCAGTATAAAACGAGTAAGAAGTCTCTAGTCGAGACTGCTCGAATAGCAGATACCCTGAATCCTCAAAGCTGATATTCCTATCATTCTGCACTTCTTTTATGCATCGCTACATACCTACATATGCATCTGCGCTGCGCTGTATTGTGGGCAATATTATGAGAATTTGTTTGTCGAATAACTTCTTTTGTCGACATATCATATAGGGAAAATGTGTACATTCTAAAGCACAAGTCTCTAGTACTTGAAATACGTTTTTTACAAATTGGGGGCGAAGAGGACGTGGTATCCAAAATCTGTTGATTACAAGATGTCTAATAGTATCCCAATGAAGCTCAAAAAACAAAATCAAATTTTCGATTATTCTCGATCAAAAAATTATCGGATGAGTTATCCAAAATATAAAGCAAACTCGTACTGCGTATGGTATACACGAGTATGCACACGAAATTTCTGCATGTAGTTCCATATATAAACATAATACGTGTTATATGTAACATTTTCATTCACTGCAAATTTATGTGCGTAACACTATTTACGGAAATGTATGTATGGAAGCTATAGAAAACAAGTAAAGGAAGCTCTACTACGAGATCATATCGCGATTATAACATTAATACAAGTGCAGTTGCCAAAGCACAAGTCTCTAGTGAAGAGTAAAGGGGTTGATATAAAGGTAGGGGATAAATTATAACAAAATCCGAAGTTCTAAAGAGTACATATAAATCTATATTTAAAATTAGCCGACTAGCTCTAAAGATGTATCAGATACAAGCTTATTACTGAATTTCAATCATGATTTTTATTGCTAAACGACTACGATATCCTCTGAATCCTTCAAGCAACTGATACTGTATCATGAGAATTCATTGTTTCTTACAGCTTACGCCAGAAATACACTCACAGATACACATACGCACGCGCGCATTAACATATATGGACTGCAGTGTGGGCTTACTCTGGGAACTTAATTATTTAATAACTTTTCTTGAGGATGTGGTTTCTTTATAAAGTAAGATTGTAATTATATTATTAAAATGCGTATATTTGCCAAATTACAAGTCTTTAGTATTTAAAATACGTCTTTTACAAAGGTGAAGGTGAAGGGGTCAATATAGGAGTGGGGGGTAAATTATAACAAAAATCTAAACTGTATAAAATGCATCTTAATATATATTTTAAATTTGGAGACTAGCTTTGAAGATGTAGGATACAAAATTTTATAACTGATTTTCAATTGGGTTTTTTATCGAAAAAAAAAAAAAATAACGGGATGAGTTATCGTTTTTAAGCATAGCTCACAAATAACTGTTGACACTTTTTCGTTGTCTGCAAATAAGTGTCTTTCACTCACACAATAAAAAAGACCCAGACAGAAACTCGCGCTCTAAACGAGACAGTCATTTCTGTTTTCGTTTCGCTCAAGTCAAACACTGATCGTTCGCTTGAGTGAAATGAAGCAAACTGTCTTTTGCGTTTGTATGGGTATTTACACGCTATGGTTGCGTTCTTTTTGCATTTATATGCATGTGTGTATTTACATGTACACGAAGGCAAGGATCATTTCTGTTGAGTTTTTTAGTCAAACTGTCTTT